CACATTAATAAGTGTTCCATTTGGTTTTCAAGCATTTTATTATGATTTTAGCATATTTGTAGTGTCAAGACTCTTTTCAGGTTATCAACACAAAAGTAATGCAAATTGGAGTAAAATCTCATTTTTGGAACACTTACAGACTGTCAGAAGTTAGCTAGGACGTTTTACGCAAGGAAAAGACCTAGAGGACTTTTCAAGAGCTTAAGTGATGTGGTCATCGATCCAGCTAGCCAGCCCAAGGTGAGTTCAATCTCAGAAAAGACTCATCTAACCCATCTGAAGCCGAACAACGCCTTGTAGAATTTGTACTGGTGAAACCATGCAAGGAAGGCACTGCAGAATCACACATTCAACGACCAAGTGAGTCTGGAGAATCTTTTGGTACAGCCATATTTCCACCGGTTTGAGCCAAAACCAAAGTTATCTGAAGTTCAGCTTTTTTGACTATGATTTTACCGCTCGCCAGCCTCCGCCCGAAAAGCAGTATTGGCTCAAAACAAAGGTTCTAAACTTCACCAAAATACATGCCAGCTCAGGAATAAGCCAAAACACTTTCTTGTCCAATTAAGGAGTCCTGACCCATGAAGATGCATCTTGGGGCAGATCCGACCCAAAGATATCCTTTAGATCTTACCGACGATTAACATGGAGCAAATATAGAAAGTCTTCATTTCTCTCATAGGGTGTACCTCATCACTTTATTTGGAACACATTATATCAGCTAGAATTTTTACACTACTTCCTAAGGTGCACTAAAATACACCTCATTATTTGATATCAAAGAGACCAAAGTTACCTAGTTGGAGTCAAGCGCGTTCACACTTCAACGGCTCCTTCCTTATCGCTGCTGCTGCGTTCTGGATCCTTCATCAATGAATATATACGTCCAAATGCATCATGGATTCCAGCCCAGGCTATCAAGACTCAAGCAACATCACAACTTACCTTATTTGTCCGATTTGACTCATAAAGCCACCAACGGCTAGCTTTTATATTCTGCGCGATTTGTTTCGTTCTTTCTAGATTTACGCTGTTATAGCTGAGCCTATACAATCCCCTTATAGTCGCGTTGTAATATTCACCCTTCTACGAATTTATTTCAATAAACTTTAAGTTTGTTGTTTACAAATAAGAGTGGCCTTTGTGTTTGATCATGAGCGTATTGTGTGTGATTCTTTTACTCTCTTGTTCGTGTAAAAATATAAGGTGTGCGATTCAATTTGTTCTTTCTTGTGTTGATTTGTGTAATTCAATCAACAACTCCATCTCCATCATCACCATTGTCCCATTTTTCATTTTAGGCCGACAGCCTTGAAATCACATGATCTATAAGACAGGTGGATTCCAATCTTATATCATGAGTACCTATAAATATGCTATTTAGTCTCTTATTTTTGTAAACTCTCATTCGATCGTGCCTTCTTTAGTTACGAATTTCATAGCACCAAACTCTTTTTTTATTTCAGAGTTCTTAGGTTGCCGAGATATGAATTTCTCTTGAATCATTTTGTTTCTCCCTGATTTATTGATTATGCATTCCTCTATCTCGTTTTTGCTTCTTTTATTTTATTAATTTCAGAATAGTTTCAATAGTTGGGTTTAAAAGGTTTAATCAAATAGTATTTCATGATTGATCATAGCTAGATTTCTGGAAATTCTTTCTTTCAGTTTGTTCATCTTGCATGGAGTAGGCGTCATGAACTATCTTCTTATCTTAGGACTGATAAAACGACTGACATAATGAGTTAATTGACCGCAACTAGCTTAGGGGAGTAAGTGTGTTATAAGATATGAAAGCATATTTATACGGCTTTGTGAACGTTTACCAATGAAAACTGAGCAGTTAAATTGTTATAGCTCTGCAAGAGAAGGTTAAATACAGTTCTGCGCTCGAGTTTGTGGAACTTTGAGCTAGAATCGATTAGGACATTTGTTATCTTGTTTGATCAACCTAAACCATTGTTATATCACTGGAAAACCCAACGTCTAGTTTTTATTGCTTACAACCGTTTCTTTTTATTTGTGACATCAACTCTCAAAACCTCTTTGTCTTCAACTCAGCTCTAACTCATTATAGACTAGACTAATACCCGCGCATACGCACAGGGTTTTCATTATGAAAAACAATTCATTCTTATATAAATTTATAAATATAAAATACTTTCTATATAATGTATTATTCTTATAACAATTATGTATTTTTTTATTACAAAATTTATAATTCTGCGTTGATTTGGAAAAGATCATGTCACCTTATAGATATTGATATTTGATTATGAGAAACTAAAAAAAAAGTCACTAATCGATCATTTCTCTAATTTTCTTATATTTATTTCTATTTTTTTTCTTTGACCTATAATTATATCAAAGAGAACACTGCAACATATCACACATGATTGTTTATTTATATTTTTTATATTTTTCTATGTTATCACCACTAATAATTATATTTCTCTCCCTTATCCCAAACATATATTCTCAGCTCATCCTCTTTAAAATCGGGGAAGTTGCGCTCTACTCCTTTGCAATCATCATTGTCAAATTATATTTCTCTCTTTCGCTAAAATGAATCCATCATTTTTCAGGTTGTATCTTACGATATATCTGAGCCAAATATAATTTTGTAAGAAGTATATAAAATAATTTGGTTTTGCTATATTTATATATAAATAAATGGATTTTATATATTTTAAAATATTTAAAACCATTAATTTAATTAGTGTAGATACATATTGTCTCCAAATTCATTGATATTGCTAATGTGGCAGGAAGATAGAGAAAATTCACCTTTTTCATATATATAATTTTTGCAAGCAGTCATAGATTTTCTATGGATTAACACTTTAAATACTATAATACACATCTGTGCACTTGCAGTCTTAGAAATTTATAAATTTAAAATCTGACACTCTCGACAAATGAAGCCTCTATTGAGCAGCAGACAAATGCGACCAATGAAAATAGATGATAAGTGGGTATGAGATCCATTTAATGAATCCAAACCCGACCCAACAACTCGACGACTAAAGATCTTACCTGATATATATCAATCCATCTATTCTATTAAAACAGAAACACATTTAGTGCTTGCATCCAAACACTCCCAAATTTTTTTTTTATAATATTTTTTTTATTTTTATATTTAATTTCCAAAAATTAGTTATTAATTTAGATATTTTTAGATTTCCTAAAATCTAGGTCACCTTTAATTTAAATTTCAAATTATTAGAAATTTAATTAAATTTATTTACAAAAATTTGCATTCAATTTAATTTAAATTCAAAAAATTCAAAAAAAATATAATGAAATTTTATTACGAAAATTTAGATAATAATTTTAATACTTTAAAATTTCTTAAATACAGGAAAGATTTAATTTAAAATTTAAAATTTAAATAATATTTTTATAAAAATGCATAGTAAATAAATATTTTATCGTATTTTATCCTAAACAATCGGTCTAAAATATTAAATATTTGCGATTAATAAATATTTATATTATACAATAATATGATCGAGCTGATTAGAGTTATATATATATATATATATATATTTAAGGTCCATAGTTTAATTTATTAAAACATGTAAGATATTAAGATGATTTGAGACAATTAAACTAACAGGTTAGCCCGTTTATATATATATATATATATATATTTAATAGCACAAATAGTAAATAAATATCTTATTATATTTTTTCATAATTAATTGGTCCAAATATTCTATATTAGTAAATATTTATAGGGTTATACAATTATAATTATAGTCTTATACGGATTAGTTTGTCAAAACATGTAAGATATTAAAAATGATTTAAGACAACTAAACGGATGGATTAGCAAATTCATAGATATATAGATTGTTTATGTGTAAATCTAAATTCACATAATAACAAAGTTTATAATTAACATTAGATCAATGTATACTTAATTAACGTATACTCTTATTCTACTAATATACAAATTTTACTGTTTAAAATTCAAAAATAATAACAATTTTTTGATTTAAAAAAATAAATAACAAAAATAAATTATATCTAAATAAAAAAAGATAAATACAACTTATATTAGAAATAAAAAATCAAACATTCCCGTGCACACACACGGGGTTAAAATCTAGTGTCAAGTAAAACTCTAGAAACATTTCTCTTTCTCCAACGAGAGTGGAGTTCACGAATATATCATACTCTTACAACTTCAAGAGATATTTTGTGCTTGTAACACTCAACTTTCACTTCTTTTTTTGAGATCCTAAGTCTCTTTTCCAACCATAATCGTGAAATTCTCTTATCCAAACTCTTATTTTCCTCTCTTTTACCACAAAAAACCAACCACTGAAAGCATATTGTGGATCCATCTTTTCCTTTGGACCCAATCGACACTTTTTCCAAACACTCTTTCGACGAACCACTCTGTAATTTTTATCGTTTTCTGACTTGGGTATTAGAGAGCTTTCGAAAAACATGATCTTTGATACTTTACTCATTTTATAAGAGATTTGCCCCAGGAAAACGAAAAATCCCCTAAACAGTAAACACCTGTAAAGCTCTTCTATTCCAAGTGTTCCTTTATCAGTTGAGCTCCCGTCCCCTGACAATTCCAAGCAATGACATTCATTTTGGTATTATGTGTGGCTTCTGGTTTACTGCGGAACCAGACGTCTTTGGGTTAAAAGTCTTCGAATTGATATTTCCGCTTTTAGATGCACACACCTCCTTCTGATAGATATTTGTTACACAAGAAGGCCTTGGAACTTTTCCTTTGTTTTTTGAGAGACAAGCCTTCCCCAGGATCCGATTCATCGTACCAAACCCGATCAAAGGCAGGTTTCCCTCGTCTTCTTCTTCGGATCCATAGCCATATATGGTTTATGATTCCCTGCCACTCGTTTCCATTTATTTGTTGTATTTAGTCCTTGAAATTTTATATCCAAAACAGAAAGCTTAATGGCATATTTACTACAACCTACATATTATATTTAAGACCGCCTGGCTTTATATTCTTTCTTAAATGGACTTCTCCAGGTGGGATTCCATGGGGTTCTATAATTGATTAATTTCTAATATTCGCGTAAGAATAGCATCGACGACATATACACACTTGTGAGTAATAGCAGAAGGTGCTAGGAAATGAGTGGTACAAAGAGACCTCGCAAAATATCAAGGACCAACTGTGACACATGATCCCTTTGAGGTGATCGATACACCTGAAAGTTTCAATCTGAGAGCCTCAAACTCATCGCTTTCTCTCTCATCATGTGTCAACCAAATCTCTAAACATCTGTCCATCAACTCTTTACCGCAGGACCAAGCCAAGCTACATTTCAAAATCCTTGTCCTATCGAACCTTACGATATTATAGAGGTTTGAATCAGATGGTTGGTCAAGTAAAGCTCTCATAGTTGCTTTAACGGCCTCGCACCATATAGGACGCCCAACCTTCAGGAAATCATGCAATGCTGTCACAGGAAGGTTTACACTCCCTAATTCCGATTCGTTGCGTCCGCCTTTTCCATGATAATCTGATCCTCCTAGTTTCAGTAGACTGTACGTATCGGCCAACACACTAAACACTGTTCAATCACCAAAAACGCTCAGTGAACCCATATAGAGAGATAGACAAAGAGAGAAAGAGAGAGGGGAGAGTGAGAGAGAAGAAGGACCTTCTAGCTTGCCGTCGCTCCTATAAACTTCGACCCCATGAAGGCCAGCATCTTTCAACCTCCTAATAACACTGACATGATCCTTCAACGCCCACGGATGTGCAAGAACAGCTACACCGCCGGTTTTGCATATAAGTTTTACTGCTTCCTCGGACATAGGCTCACTCCCTCTACAATAAGAATAGTGCAACCACCCAAACAGAAAAAAAATTGTCAGTGCGAAAGTTATAGGTGTCGAACCAGTAAACAACTTTATACAGTACACCAAATAACCACACTATTGAAGAGACAACGCCAAAAGCAAGATCCTATACCAACCTAGCATGCCACATCTCATCATTCCTAAACTCCCTTTAAACATGTTAGATCTCTAGCTAATCGAGTAACCGGCTCAAATATAGTTGATCAACTACTATCTAGGGTCAAGTACAATGCTCCTGAACTAGACTAACACAAGGTTTATCATAGACACACAAATCCATAAGATTTAATAAAATCAGCCAAACCAGGGAAGAAGCAGAACCTACGTGGAATAAGCAGGTCCACCATCATAAAGATATTTAGTGAAAGCTTGTCTCAAATTCTCCACGTATCCTGCTTCAAGAAGCGCTCGGGCTATGTGCATCCTACCTGGAGCAACATCCTTGCCTGCAATCCTGGTAACATGTTCCCATTTAAGAGGTATCTTCAGCTTATTCAGTTTCGATACCATTTCTCTCCCACGAACAAAACGCCCATCCCTTATCTTCGCCAGGAAATCTTCGAATTCATCATACATTGCAGGACCGGAAGTGCCATAGTATGCAAGTATATGCACTGGTTCTTCAGAACCAGACTCTCTATATTTTGGCAATTAAATCGTTGTCAGTGCAATTCAGATACTCCAACAGAGATTATCTTATATGGACTAAATTATTCGGAAGTTCAACAACGAAGTGAGAATAATTTGAATCATGCGATCACAAATCATAAATATGATACCTGGAACAGAATAATGTGCTGATCTCAACACCTGGAATGATCTTGATACCGAATCTACGTCCTACTTCTACTGCTTCCGGGATACCAGCCATCGTATCATGATCCGTTAGAGAAAGAACTTTCACCTGCTTTGATCACATTTACAAGCAAATCAAGTCCTTGATATCATGCAAGCAGTGATTCAACTGTAGATTGTGATGTGGAAAATGTGAAACTAACAGTGAAATTGCTACCAAATGATAAAACCTTATCACATTCCTATGAAATACTCCTTAAAGAAAATGGCATAGTCGAAAGTATCACCGCCACAACCAAATCCAAATAAAAAAACACCATTAGACATTGACCCACGAAAATTAATAGCATCAAGCTATAATCTTTAATAGTGAAGTTTGTGTTTTGTGGCGAAGTCATGGTGATGCAACAATCAAATCAGAAAACAGCTAATCTTAATGTAGCCACAAGCAAATAAAAACCCAGTTCAGATCTTCGCCTAACTCACTCGCACATCAGAAAATTATCACCGATTTCAGAAACACAACAAACCCCATCAAATCTCAAACTAACCCCATTGTTATGAGCCTTCTCAACGAGCTTTGTAGGCGATAGAAACCCATCGCTTCGATTTGAATGAGAGTGAAGCTCGAAGACCAATTTCTCTCCGCATCTCAAAGAGCCACTATTAATCTTGACGGCGAAGTCATCACGAGAAGAGGAAGAGGAGAGGGGTGAAGATGAAGAACCTACGAAGAACCAATCCCTAACCGACCTAGTTGCCTCTGCTTGCTCAGTGGTCATCTTCTTCTTGCCATCGCCACGCTTCTTCTTCTTATTCCTTTTCTTCTTTTCGTCAGCCATGGTTTGGATTTGTCGTTCTAAAAAAAGTTACAAAACACTTCGGAAAACATCTTTCGTTCTAAGAATATAATTGTTTTTTGTAAAGCCTTTTTTTTTCTTTTTTTTTTTGCACTTGTCCTCAGGAATTTTTATCTTCGTTAGTTTAGTTTGCATTTGCAAAGTAACCCCATTTTTATACTACGATATATTTATTTACACACAAATAAAAAAACATTTGGTCGACGAGAGGCTTCGATCCAGTGAGCCCATTTTCCAGAAAGCTTAGCCGATTCCGAAAACGACATTGGCTTTAGAAAAAGAACAAAGCTGAATCAGCCCCCGACATAATTATTGGATCTCAAAGCACTTTGAAGAAGGTAAATCCCATTTGTTCAGTTTCTGATTTGATTGAATTTTTTTTTTTTTTCATTTTAGGCGTGTGTTGAAATCCCTTCTTCCAGTTTCGCCGTTCTGGATTTGGAGAGGTAGAGAGTATACAGATCCTTTCCTATCTCGTGCCATTGTAAGACTTATTATTGTGGTTCACCTCTGAAAATATTTTCCAGTAATTTGTAAATGATATGTCCGTTTTGTTTCTTTTACTCTCTTGGTATTTTGATTATGTATTCAGCTAAATAGATGCAAATAAAATGAAAATTGGAAAAGAAAAGTTCTTACAATTGTTCGTGAATTGATACGGTGTGATGTTTTGAGAGGTTTTTAGTGAACTTATGAAATTTGATATAGTTAGGAGTTAGGATGAAGAAGACAAAGCTTGTGTTCTCAGTCAATTTGATAATTACAGTTGGGGGAGCTTTGTTCAGTTCAAGATTGGCTCTGATTTGGTCTTAACAAAGCTGACTTTTTTTTTTCTCTATTTATGTGGATATGGTTTATGATTTTGATAAGATCCAAAGATCGTATCTCTCCTTATTACTCAAGAACTAAGAACAAGAACAGTCTAGGGATCGCTTAAGACCCTTAATCTGTTTTCCTTACCCTCTATATATAGTATCTATCAATTTGATTCTGACTGTAGTTTTCGTTGGTTAAGTATACTTTTAATCTTTACCGGATTTATAGGTCCATTATTGTCATGCAGCCGGAAAAGGAAGATGTTTAATTTGAGTGGTTATAGTGAACTTATGAGATGTGATATAGTTAGGATAAAGAAGACAAAGGTTGTGTTCTCATTCCATTGGATAATTACAGTTAGCGAAGCTTTGTTCAGTTCAAGATTGGCTCTGATTTGGTCTGATATAGTTTCTGTTATGTCTAAATTAAGCTTAAATTTATTTAATATCTTAACAAAGCGTATGTATTTTTTTCTCTATTTATGTGGATATTCCCGTTGGTTAAGTATGTTTTAATCTTTGCAGGATTTAACTAGGTCCATGCTTGTCATGCAGCAGGAAAAAGGAGAGGCTTAATATACAGTGATTACAAAACTCACAGTCTCTTCTGTGTATTTTCGAACAAGGAGATGATGCGGTTCAAAGAGGTATTACTTTTCCAACCTGTCGGAAAGAAAGAAATAATAATGCAACCAGTCAAAACTCTAAATGTAGTTTTCACCTAATTTCCAATCTGTTTTTCTATCTCTTTTCACTGACTTCAAGTTTGCTTCTCCACTCCGGTCAAGTTCTTTTTATCTGCAACTTTATTTTAGTTTTTGAACATTTTGTGTCTGCATGAATCAGGAGAAAGAAGCCAAGAAAGAAGCTTTCAGGAAGTATTTAGAGTCCAGTGGCGTTCTTGATTCTCTCACTAAAGGTGTAGTCTTTTTTTTCCATATTCCAGTACTACTTAACCTATTGCAACAGTTTTTTTTTTCATCGAATAATTTGATATGTTCTGACAAACAAGTCGCATCATACTCTTTTGTATGTTCTCGAAAACGATGGCGGGGTTTTGAGTGTAGTTCTGGTTGCTTTGTATGAGAAGAATGATAAGCCTTCCTCTGCTCTAGAGTAAGTATCTGGACACATATTTAGATCTTAACTTGTTAATCATTAGTTTCTATCAGATTAATCTATATAAATATGTCGTATTATGGGGTCTTACCGGGATTAGTCACCTGGACATCTTACTTCAGTTACCGAGACCTGTGCATTAAAGATCTAGGCAGCTCATCTTATTCTAGTGAAGTCAGATCTTTTTCCATACCATAACGTATATAGGCCAACCTGTGTATTGACTTATAATCTTGAATCCAGATCCTGCTGAACTAGCTAGGGAATGGGGGAATTAGGGAAATAAACCATTTTTAATTTTGGGCTTTTGAGTTTTGTGAACTAAATCCTAACAAGCATCAGATCAAAGAGTATAAGTTTTCTCATAGGCTCAATATACCAAATTTTACTGAGAAGATTGATGGATATGTTTTATTCCTTGCCAGTCTCTTATGTCAGTGTCAATTAACGGTTATCCAAGTTCAAGGTCATGGGTGCAGATTTACAATAAGGCCATAGGTTATATATATCAAGTTGGATCTTGAAAACCTTGCATTCCTACTATATGATCCTTTGTTTTGTTTTTTTTTTTTTTTTCCGAAAACCTCAGCTAGGCAGGTTTTCTTTAAAAACATTCTCTTTGACCTGTGTTCTTTAGATTCATTCAACAAAAGCTAGGTGGTCCTTCAATCTCTGAGTATGAGAAGCTTCAAGCTGAGAAGTCTGATCTTCAAATAAAGTACAATGAGCTTTTGGCTAAACATCAGGAAACCCTGAGAGAGGTAAACTTGAATTGAAAATCAGGTTCTTGAACCATCTAATCGCTCATGAGTTCAGGCTTCTGTATTTTCTTTCAGTGTTGGCTTTGTACTAGCTTTCTTCACCATCCATAATCTTAAACATTTTGGACTCTTCCTTCATATACTGAAGTGTTTTAATGTGTTTGGCATATTGTATACATGGTTAATGTCGCAGTTAGATGGAGTAAAGAGCCTGCGTTCAAGAAGCTCTTCAAAAGATGATGCAGAAAGAGAGGCCACTGAAGACGAACACACGAACCTTGTGACTCATCCGCACCAATAAATTGTCGTTATGTATATGTAATTCCCACTGCCACATTTTCTATCTCCATTAGTGTTATTCTGGGGTGTCATTTTGGTTTCCTATACGCATTTAAGGCAGCAAAAGAAGAACAATCAAAAACAAAATAAAACTATGCATAGAGTTTATCAGTTCAAAGATCTGGCTACAATAAAGTATTTTCAATATTCGTTTGCTCTTTTCTATCTACTACACCAACGGTTTTATGTTTAAAGTCGCGTACCACGTGAAGAAATGTGGGAAGAACCACGTATAATATCACCCCCGGTAATGGGCAGAAGTGACATTCAGAAGGGCATTCCTCGCTAAAAGGTCCGGGGGGCGATTTCCCGAAAATCTCTAAAGTGAGTTTGTGTAAATGCTGAGCCACTAAGCAAGGGAGTACCAGTTACCACTTTTTGTTTAAATTTCGATCTAGCAAGAGATATAAGATAATTAAACCACCAGAGACTTCCCGAAATGGACAAGTGACGAGCAGTTACAGAGACTAGTATTAAAAACATCAAAAGGCCGAAATCTCTTAGAGCACCTCCAAGGCGGGCTCGTCGGGTTCGTTAGTCGGACCCAAATCAATTTTTTGAATTTTTTTTTAATTGAAGTCGAATTTTCGGATGATACTGTCTTTTGGGATGAGCCCGACGAGCCCATATTGTTAAGGGTTCATCGGCCACGTCTCGTGCTCGTATTGGTCCTTGTTTGAGAATTTTTTTTTGGGTTGGGAATCGATTTTGGGTTTCCATTTTTCATTTCTCTATTCTTTCACCGAAAAGTTTTTTCTCTCTCGACGATTTGCGAAAGACCAAATCGGAAACTCCTGCCGCCGGAATTGACACTTCCCTCTCTGATCGATTAGCAAGGTACGTAATCTCTGACCCGTTTATATGTTTATTTTTTCATTTGTTCGGTTATTTGGATCGAAATTAGGGTTATATCAATTGCGGAAAAATTAGGGTTCATCGGATTGATTTTAATTAGGGGTATTTCTGTCGATTATGATCTATCTACGATTGAATGGCTGTTGATATAGTCGATTCATGTATTTCTCTGAAATTAGGGTTATGCAATTTTATGAAAAATTAGGGTTCTTCCGGTTGATTTTAGTTAGGGATTTTTGTGTCGGCTATGATCTGTCTGCGACTCAGTGGCTGTTTATTTAATCAATTCATGTATTGCTCTGAAAATTGTTTTTGTTTTTCGGGTTGATTTTAATGAGGGGTTTCATGTCGATTAGGTTCTTTCTTTGATTCAACCGTACTATATATGTTTGTATAATGATCTATGTCTTTCTCGTTGAACTTACCTGAACCCATATGTGTGACTTTTGGTTGAAGACTCATGTTCGTTGATTTTTGTTTAAATGTCTTCTCTTCTGTTGTGGTTGCGAGGTTAGCCATGCCCATCAGCTACAGCGAGCCCTCATCTGAGGATGAAGCAATGTCCGACATGAGCATTCCGGCGAGATACTTATATATGCGAATGCTAATTACGGCATTCCGGCGAGATGCTTCTGCGGTTTAGAGATGAACCTTGAAGCTTGTACAGGTGAATTGAATCATGGACGCAAGTACTACTTCTGTCCCGCCTGGTTAGACGAGGTGAGTTAAACAATTTAAAATGGAGTTTGTTTTGTTTTGTTTGTTAGCAATTTTTTTTTTTATCTAACAATGAGTTTTGTTATAAGGGAGTGAAGAACATATTTTCAAATGGTGGGATGAGGCTGTGACAGAGAAGTTCGAGAGAATTGCGTTAAGGATTCAAGAGCAAATGGATAGGCACTACAAGAAAACAATCGTTTTCCAATGGTCCATTACGACGGTTTTCAAATCGTCGCAAGCTTACAACGATTTTATGACGATCTTACGTCTAATTTTAAAACCGTCGTAACACCGTCGTATAAAAAAATCGTCGTAAACTCGACGTACAATTTACAACGAATTACGACGATTATACATCGATAACGAGAGATTTGCTAGTAAATGTAAAATCGTCGTAAATTCGATGTAAAATTACGACGAATATACGAGGACTGCATTTCGATGTACATATTACGACGATTTTACGTCGAAAAGAAGTTAGGTGGAAAACATTTAAAACATGTTTACCTAACAATTGCAGGGGAAATATTTTATCGCATAATCGTCGTAAACTCGTCGTAATATTATTTTTGAATGTAAATTCGTCGTAAAATGTTGTCGTAAAAGCGTTGTAAAGTCAGAAATTTTCCTATAAATAGATCTTCATTCCTTCTTTCAATCACAACATATCATCATTCAAACATAAGAGCATCTTCATCTTTGAGACCCATTGTAGGTCTCTTAAATTTTAGTATAGTGTTGTAAATCCTTATATATTGGGTTGTCCATTGCTGGAAACCCGAACTAAGAGTTATATTACTTTGAAAAAAAGTAATAATATTATAAGGTTAATTTACTCCATTCACGTGGCTAGACGTGACACAATTGTCTAATCAATAAAAAGAGATAGTATTTTGAGTTTATTTTCAAGATGTCTATATACGAGCTAAGAAGTTGGATGTATATGCGTAAAGATTCAGATGGGGCGTTGACAGAAGAGTTCAATAACGGGTTAGAAATATTTATGTTTCAGGCTACAAATATGGAGAGAACGAAAGATAGTGGGAAGATGTTTTGTCCTTGTTTGAAATGCAAGAATACGAGGTATACACTAACCAAAACCGTGTGGACGCATTTATTAAATAGAGGGTTTATGCCGCAGTATTTTGTTTGGTATCTACATGGAGAAGGATATGGCAGTAATACTCATGGGAATGCTGGTAGTAGTAGTAATTATCAAAGTCATGTTGATTTTGATGAATCGAATTATGGTCATCAGCCTAATCAGTATCAATATGATCAAAGTGTAGATCATGATAGGATGCACGAAATGGTGACTGATGCATTTCATGAAACGCATACTGGTAATGCTGTTGAGGAACCTAATGTAGATACCAAACGATTTTATGATTTGTTAGACAATGCTAATCAGCAATTCTACGAAGGATGTAGAGAAGGCTTGTCTAAATATTTACTATCTCATCTCATGTCATAAATCCATCATACATGCAAAGTTGTAAACATTTTGTTATATGTTAGGATACAATAACCTTTGCATTGTTCTTTATGCAATATCCCATTTATAAGATTTAGGGTTTAATCACTTTTTTAAAAAACTTCGTAAAACCGTCGTAATATAATCGTAACTTTACGACGGTTTTACGTCTAAGTTTTCTAAAACCGTCGTTGAACCGTCGTAACGTTTGCACCGGATAGGCTCTTGATCCGAGGTACGAGGTTATAAATGGTTAGACGTTACGAGGATTTTACGACGGTTTTGGGTAAAATCGTCGTAAAACCGTCGTAACGGTCAAACGCTACCCTCACGACACGTGTCATGTCATGCAGTGGACCGACTGTTATACAACCGAATCGACGTAAAATCGTCGCAAATTTACGACGATTTTACGACGATCACAAAATCTATATAAGGGACGCGAGTTTTCCCCCTTTCGTCGCTCATTCCTCTCTTCTCCCCTCTCTCTCTACAAAACTTTCTCTCTAAACCCTAAACCTCTCCCTCTCTCCCTACTCTCCCAGCCAATACTTGTAAGTTTTTTAAAAAAAAATTAATTTCACTACATATTCTTTTAGATTTAGGTTCGGAATTTAGATTTAGGTTTCGGAATTTAGATAGGCCCGGATTTTGTAAATTTAAATAAATATTTGAAAAATTAGTAACAAATTTTTTTAAATTTTGTAGATTATGTTGATATGGCTCCTCGGGCTAAGAGATTTCACTACCGACAGCTGGTCGATTCTGACGGTACGGCCCCGTCTACCTCGGCGACCGGATCAGCCATCCCGGAGTCCTCGGGAACACAACGGACGGTTTCCCAACCGGTCGTTGTACCGCAGCCAGCACCGCCTCCACCACCACCAGCCGAACCAGCGGCTCCCGCACCGGCCGATCCTGAAGCTGATCCGATCCTGCCTGTACCGTATGCCCAGTTTACGGTACAGGATCTTCTGGCACAGCCGGGTCGTGAGACCATGAACAAACTCGACCCGGATCGAGCCCCGCGAACATTTAGGTACGTAATTTTTTTCCTACAATATTTTTAAATTAATTAATATTTATTCTTATATATTTGAAATTAATTTACTTTTATATTTCTATTTGACTAGGTTTACGATTACAATGCAGTCGGTCGTAACGTTGCGGATATCATCAAGGGTTTTTTCGTATAACCCCATACTAGCTGGAAGAAGCTGGATCAGGCCACACTTGACACTTGGTTCAAGTGTTTTGCGGTAAGTAATTTACAATTTTGTTTAATTTTAATTTTTAATTTTAACTTTTTACAATAATTACTAACTTTTTTTTTGTTCTTAGCAAAACTGGCATTGGGAAACATCCGCACACGGACGTGTGGAGACGGCCTTCAAGGAGAAGGTCAAATTCCGCCTCAACAACACCGTTTCCGACTGAAAACGGAAGTGGGAGGTTGACGGCGACAAGGCCAAGCCGGCGCCTATGGCCAATTCCGTCTGGCGGGGCCTTGTCCAGTACTGGTTGGATCCGCACAACCAGACTACGGCCGCCAAGTGTTCCGGATCTAGGTAAGTAGTTAATTCCATTAATATTTACATTATTTGTTTTCATTAATTCTTATAATATATTCTAATGAAAATATTTTTCAGGAACGCTACTGACGATGCGGGAAATCGGAAAAACGTTCTGCACACTTCCAGCCAGATTCCTTTTGCCGGAAGACGGCTTATGATGGTAAGTAAATTAAAATTACTGATTTTTTGTTTTCAAATAATTAATCCTTATTTGTCGATATTAATTTTTTCATTTTGATTTTGTAGGTCGAAGATAATGGAGGAGAACTTCCTCCGATGACAAAGGTTTTTGCCGAGACGCATAAGAAGCGGAACGGCGAATTCACGGATCTTCGGGCGGAGGAGATCTACAACGCCGCCTGTGCGGCGATCGAGGAGCGACAGACGCAGCTGACTCAGCAGGCGCGTCAAACGTCTCCCGGAGGTAGCTCGGTCCAATCGACCCCGGCGCTGACGGTGGCGGAGATGGACCAGATGTTCGAAGAGGTAAATTTAATTACTATATTTAATTAATGTAACTTT